TTCCTTTCGTTCCTACATGCATACGATGTCTCCAATTTAAAATCGTGATCAACATGAGTGATAAAAAAAGTTATATAAGTTCACACACTGGAGTGTTTTATAAGAAAACGAAATATGACGAAAACGAGAAAATAATTCTGCTTGATTTTTGAAACATTATCTCGTTCCTGTTCTTTTCTTCTCTCCATCTTTCTCAACGCAAACCTGACAACCTGATGCTTACCTGTTGACCTTGCCGCGACATTTGATGACTGCCAATCACTTACATCTGTGTAGAAGCAACAAACGCGGATTTACTTTCAACATCGCGAATCATCGTCGATAATGACGACTCAGTGAAAGGGATACGTAAATTGAACCGTTGGAAATAATAATTGTCGATAATATGCAAAATGCAAGCAAGATATTCTTTTCCTTATATTGATAATGATTAAAAATTTCGGATTATATGTGATATATATAGAACCTACAATTTTTTAAATTAAAATTTAATATTTTACTAAAAATTTTTTATATTTTTATATTATATAATTATTATATAATAATTATATTATATAATTATTATATATTTTTATATTATATAATTATTTTGCAACGCCAAATACTCAGAATTATTACTATGTACCAATATAAGATATGAGTTTGTTATATTACTCCTATCGCGAACAATTTTATTTCGATAATAATTCATTTCATAAATTAATTCCATTTTCCATCGGATGATATACTTGAGCATTTATATTTGTGGCATAATATATAAAATATTCAATTCAATTAGAAAAAAAAACTTCTGAGCACATACATATATAGCAGAGAATATCGTTCTCACGACAGAAATGAAATATTTTCCACGATTAAGCTGCTCAACGCATAGAGAAAGATGTCAGGGGAGATGAAATGACTTTAACTTGTCCCCTTTTCCGGGAATTAGGCACTTAATATTTCATCGCGTAGTACAATTTCAAGAATGACTCGCGTTGGAAAAGTGACGCGACGCGTATTCTCTCTCGACGTGGTTTATCGTTTATCGCAGGCTATGCCGTCAGAGCTTTACGTCGCAAAAGCTCGAAACATGGCCCACCCCGTAATACGTGTGGGACGTGTGTCCCGATAATAAACCATAATAATAATAATAAATTATGTAATATAACGGCTCTCTCGTTTGTCAGCCACTGACGTGTGTGTATGAAGTTTCCTACAGAAAATCCCCCATCGTGTCGCATGAAATCGCAGCAGGAAAAAGGGACAATTAAATTTGCATATATAATCTTACGAGAAATTAAAAAAATATAAGAATAGAAAAAAACATTTCGCGAATCTTCGAAATTAAAATTATGAATAAAAATTACCTCTGCCAAAACGTCGAAGTAAAATTGAGCCAAAAATTTTTTCGAGTTTTGCTTTTAGGAGGAAATTGAAAAGTGAGAATTATTCAACGTTAAAAATTTCGTTATTTTGATTAATTGAGCTTTCCTTGCGTTGTTGCAGCAAGAATAAAATAAAAAACTAAGTAAAGGAATAAAGTAGAGAAATAAATATGGAAATACGTCAAGACAACAAAAAATACAGCTAAAATGATAAATAAAATCAAGCCGGATAACTTTTTGAATTTAACATTCAGGAAGAAATAAAATCGAAAACAAGTGAGAATTATTGAACGTGAAAAGTTTTGGGACGCGAATTTACCAGGCACGCGTGAGTTTTTTGCGGCACACTCTGTATATTCGCTCCCTCCTGTTAGGTAATTCGTGCCTCGCGTAAATAAAGTTATTTCCGGCAGGATCAACCTGCTGAACGTTTCGAGGTACGAGAGCCGAACATTCGCAAACGACTCGCGTTTTATCGCCTTGTACAGGATGTCCAAAAAATAACTACATAATTTTCATTTTCTCTCTCTGTATTACATATACATATCTTCTTCGACTATGAAAAAAAAGTTTCACAATGTTGGAATCAATCTTTCCTCATCGAGAACTCGCTCGCAAGATGCCCCTTGCTTCCTACGACTTTGATCGCGGTTTTCCCGTTTCCTTTAACGCGTTCTACACTGAAATGCTATAATAATTGGTGGCTCAATCATAAGTATAGCACTATAATCAGTAAAATCTGATTAGGTCAGTTAATGGTAGCGACTATTACCATTACTGGTGCGAATATGGACAGTGTCATTGCACGCAAAGTATCTTCTTCATAAATGCAGAAACTTGAATGTAGTATATAACAAATTTGCCTATTACAGATTTTATTTTCTTTCTTTCATTGAGCAAAATCAGTGAGAAATAGGATGAAGCAATAAAAAGTATCTTCGCTGAAAATCAGTGAGTCAGTAGTTCTTTTACTGATTCGTTTTAAGAGAGCAAGGTATTTAATTGAAAAAAGATGTATATTAGAGTAACATGATAGAGAGAGAAGGCGATGACGGGACGAATTTGTCCGAACGGCATCTTCCTGCGAAGCCGACCGAAGAATCTCGCTGTGACGCGAATTTCGACGCGTCCTGAATAACGCAGCGGCGCAAGAGCGCGTCCCGTCCGAACAATCCGGTTCTCCCGATCGGTTTCGCAGGAGCTATGTGAGTCAGGGACACCCTGTATATAGAATAATGACGTCAACGGCGATTGAGCAGTGATTCCCGGCAGTGTCGCGCCGGGTATAGAATCGTTGCAATAGTTATGAGAGCGACTAGAGGCGGCTTTAGAATGCAACGCCACTCGTTCGCTTTTGCGTCGTTGGATTCGCCGCTAAAGGCGCGTTTCTAATTCGCGACGGGAGAGCGGAGTCTCGTCTAAACAACGGCGGCTCGTCAAATAATGGGACCAAAGAGATAATTGGACCGCCGACAAGCACCGAAACCGATTGACAGTAGTCCCCTCTCCTCCTGCCGGATATGAGATCCCCGAGAGAGAGAGAGAGAGAGAGAGAGAGAGAGAGAGAGAAGGAGAAAATAACTGCGATGACTGCATTTGACGTGTAATACACAATACAATATATCCCGAAATGAATTAATCCGCGCTTTCACTGCCTCCTTTTTCTCTCGCTGTGCCCTTTCGATACCGAATAAACGAGCAAGCGAGCGAAATCGACGTTACCAATGAATGACAGAAAAAAGACAAAGGCGGCAAGAATATTAAATCGAATGTTTAATGAATGTTTACGTGCGTAGTCGATGATTGCACAGAAAATGCCCCACGTAGCTCGCAATGTGAATCAATATCTGCGTAAACATTCTACTTGACTGATCGACTTTCCGATATTATTTCATCGTACAAACTTGATTGTTTTCTTTAACTAGACGAATGAAGTCCGTAGATCAGTTAAGCTTGGCGAAATTCTTTTTTTTCTTTCTCTCTTTCTCTCTCTCTCTCTCTCTCTCTCTCTCTCTCTCTCTCATGTTCAATTAAACATGTATGTGATATGCATGTATGTATGAGTGGCGAGTCACGATAGCATCCGCGAGTGCCTGTTCAGACAGCCACGCTGAACGTTGATTCCAGGGCATGCGAGATAACACGCGAGTGACGTCAAATGAATCGTAAGATCAGCTTCCGTCCGTTGACCCAGCATGCAAAATTCGACCTGGATTGTTCGAAGGACTCCAGGGTTCGCGGACAATTAACATACGACGAGGAAGATTTCCGTGACGACGGACGTCTCGTCTCGTCGTCGATTCTGTGTCGCGCTTTCGACGTCCGTCGAAATAATAAAATTGCGCGAGAAGCAGCTGCGCGTTTCAAAAAGGAACGAGAAGACCGGGAAAAGCGCAGAAAATGGAAAGAAACGCGGATGTCAGAGGACGGGGAATTATCATCTGGGATATCTCAATGAAATTGCACGCGCTCAACTCATTGGAGCCTTGAGTCGCTCCCAGAGAGTTGGATGAAGTTAGTGCGAAGTTTAAAATTAGCTTCGACCGACGCGGTATTCCGAAGAAGCAGGCGCGAAATGTAATAGATAAAAGTGTTGCTGATTGACGCGTCTCATTTTAATAATGAGAGAACGCTCTAGAGATAATCAAGTAATACTACTCAAAAATCCTTGAAAGTGATATTGCTCATCAACATGCCAAAATATCCGCTTCCTCTTTGGCCGATCAAATGTTCACGTAAATATTTAATATTCATGAGAAAATTCCAGCGTATCCATCTGCATAAATATCGAATGAAATGTCCAATTGGTTAATTTTATATCCATTACGCGAACTTCACACGCCGAGTGAAACGCGGGGTTTCATTAAAATGCATGAAAAAAGTTCGCGAAAAGAGCTCTTCGTTCCCGAACCTAATCTTCTCGTTTTATCTTCGCGATATAAAATTTGAGCGTCTCCGCAGATCATAGCGCTCAAATTGATAACGGAACACATATTTTGCTTGACGATAACATTTGGCACGATGACGTCAAATGTGCGCGCAAGTTTTCTATTCCCTTCCGCTGACTCGTTACACCAACAGCAGCATGCAGCACACGACCTTATGCTCTAACATACTCTAACATGCTTTCCTTTATACACGGTGTCTCGTGAGACATCGGAAATGCCATTCGCGGCAAGATAAGAGGTGGAAAACAAAACACCGAAATGCTACGCTGATAAATACACCGCGAACTAAGAACAGCGAGCTATTCTTTCTGTAAAAATAAAGATCTGACAATAAAAATAAAAACGCTGATAAAAATTGCCGTAAAAATAAATATCTAAAATTATCTAATAAGCTATAATAAAAAAAGACTTGTAAGATAATCTGATGAAAAAAAGATCTAATAAAGGGGTTAAAGAAAAATAAATAAGAAGCGCGAGAATAGCGAGGCGGTTATTATTCTTTCGAATAAACAAACGGCAGGATATTCCTCCCTCTCTCTCTCTCTCTCTCTCTCTCTCTCTCTTAAGAAATTTAACGTCGACTTTTCCTCGCGGAAAATTCAATAAGCGATTTAATGGATAGAGTATTGAGTTAGTGCGGATTAACCTACAGACTATAAATTGGTAATACGATCTTTTACACACTTCGACTAACTCAAAGTGCAAATTTCGCTTTAGCGAAAACTTTATCACATTAATGTTACACTGCAATTGAAAGAGTTAACATTTGCATGTATCGCGCATGTGTGTGCGTGAAATGTGTGCAGAGAAATCCAATGTAAATTTTCAAGATTTCTCAAGGCGCGCCTCTGGAATATCACTCGAGAATATCATATTCGATGTAAATTCACTTCGCGTTACACTCTGTCGTATATCTGTAACCGATCGAGAGCACGCGGCATGTAAACCCCGTGAGTATAAATTATTGCACAGGCATTATCGTGTTAAGAAATATATGGCCGTCGATTGAAATTGACATCCATTTGCCGGAGCGGTTCAGTGCAAGCTCAGCTTTGCCCAACAGAGCTGCCCCGTGTTTTGCCGCGATCGTGGTTCGAGTTTGGACTGCATTTTCTACTAATAGCTTGTTGCATCTCGGTGAAATATCGAAATTTGCGACTTGTGCGCGTACGATAAAATAAATAATCTTTTGGTCTGTGCTATGTAGAGTACGTAATGATTTTTTGAAGAGGAAAAGAATTGTATGTATCACAGAGAAAATAAAATTATCATTGTTGTTGTTGTTAAATTAGAGTTATTCGTCTGCTTTGTCTGCCTCTCAGGTGAAGTAAATTCCTAAGATTAAAATCTATGATAGCAGAAAGATATAACATGATTAATTTCTCAATTGAATAACTTGAATTATCTCGACACTGTTTTGAAAATATCGATCGAATTTCAATACCAGACGCGTTGTCTAGAAATTAACTAATCTACAAGATCGAACTGCCATACTCGCGTCGATGAAGGAATTGGAAGGGAATATGATAAATCCGAGAGAGCGAAGATTTACTATAGAAACGGTAGCGAGACTAGAACACTCAGTAATTCCGTTTATATACAAGTCGACAGACGTGTACGTGTCGGTGTGAATATTACACGTAAATAAACATAAATTTTAAGCATTCGTCAAAGGTTGATTCTACGAAACGATGTCGTCGGAAAAATTGTGTGAAAAGCGCCAGGTATAGACTTATTACTCTTTAAATTTCTTTCTGGAAATGAGCGAAAAGTGGTGGTATTTTCGAGTCGATAGTTAAAATATTGCCACTCGAAATTCATTCGACCACTCGAAATCGAGTAACACGCGTTAATCTTTCTATTTTTCGAGTGGAATTTCACTCCAAGAAATTTAAAGTGTATTTATCATTGACAAAATTACAAATAATTTTGTAATTCTACATAATTTGTAATAATCCTTTTACTCTCTTTAAACGTTACTCATGTGTATATATGTGTGTGTGTGTATGTGAAAGAGCGTGTAATATGATTTGCAAGTGTAAAATCAAGGAATATTCGTTGTTGGCAGTGGATTGTCTCGCAGGAATTTCTACACAAAGCTCCGCCCTCAAATGAGACCACAGGGACCAGTGCGTTAGTGAACAGTACAAGCTCCGTACTCTCCGACGAGATGGACGTCGACGTTGTCAACAAACGGCAAGCTACACGCGTCTTCAAGAAGTCCAGCCTCAATGGCAAGATCACGGTCTACCTTGGCAAGAGAGACTTCGTCGATCACATCACGCACGTTGATCCCATTGGCAAGTATCGATCATCATAAACGCAACCCACGCACTTGGCATCTAGAATAACTGCCCCACCCTTGGCCGCGACTTTCGACCTGATTCTCTTTTCGCGAGATTCACGCTCACGTTATATTTGTCATCGATATAAAATGTGTTATAAATTCACTTAAAAGGCCATCGTGATATCCGTTTACTTACAAATTTCATCGCGGAATTGCCTTGACAATTCCAGACGGAGTCGTGCTGATCGATCCCGACTACGTGAAAGACCGGAAGGTGTACGGCCATGTTCTGGCGGCGTTCAAGTATGGCAGGGAGGACTTGGACGTCCTCGGACTGACATTTCGTAAAGACCTCTATCTAGCGGCGGAACAAATCTATCCCGTGCCGGGGTCTGAGATGTCGCGACGGGAACTGACGCGACTGCAGGAGAGGCTGATCAAGAAACTGGGCAACAATGCGTACCCCTTTTACTTCGAGCTACCGCCTCACTGTCCCGCTTCGGTCACCCTGCAACCGGCACCCAGCGACACGGGCAAGCCCTGCGGCGTCGACTACGAATTGAAAGCGTTCGTAGGTGACGCGCAGGACGACAAGCCGCACAAACGGTACGAGCCTCGATCTAACGCACTACCGATCGACGAGAATTTCATATTTCAGTCACTCAGATGAAAAAAAGGCAATCTTATTTAGATTGACAACATTTTATCGAGAGGGATTTAATTTTAATTACAACGTAATTTTAAGAGGAAATTTCTTTTCTTAAAGAGAAAATTTTCCTGGAATAAAATTTCTTTTTTACGTTTAAGATCAAGAGAGACCTTTTCTATGCCAAATTAAGAAAATGTTTGTTAAAAGTAAAGTGAGTTTCGATCTCAAATACGACTCATCTTCGCGGAAAAGAACCGTCAGAGAGCCTGATTCTCTTATATCGGCTGATCGTGAAGAACGGCGAATAATTTCTATTAACTATTCTCTTTGACGGTATTATTAATTGTCGGGATTGCTCAACAATGTAGGAACTCGGTGAGGCTGGCTATCAGAAAGATTATGTACGCGCCGTCGAAACAGGGCGAGCAGCCCTCGGTGGAAGTGAGCAAAGAGTTTATGATGTCCCCCAACAAGCTGCATCTGGAAGCTTCCCTCGACAAGGAGCTCTATCATCACGGCGAGAACATAGCTGTGAACGTACACATAGCGAACAATAGCAACCGAACTGTGAAAAAGATAAAAGTGTCGGTCAGGCAGTTCGCGGACATCTGCCTGTTCTCCACGGCGCAGTACAAATGCATCGTCGCCGAGGCCGAGAGCGAGTGAGTATTCCCCAGCTAATTACTGCTCGCCCGTTATCAAGGGACGATGATATCGCGGCGAGAGAGAAGCGCGTCGCAAATGAACGTAGGGCGGTTCGACCTAAAAAGCTTCGGTTAACAGAATTACACGTGAAACTCAATTCGCGGAAATGGAATTTCCAACGCTTAGAGTAAACACGCCTCCACATCATATTCCCAAGTATCTCTAATCAATCAATTTTTCTTTCTTCGTTTCAAATTAATTTCCGTGGAATTGGAGGCGACAAGATCTTCTTCGGGTTCAGTATTTAAATTGAGTTTTTAAGAGAGAATATCGGGAAAAGAGACTCTCTTTCAGAGAGTTTCAAGCGAAAATATCTTCGAAACCTCTGAAAGAGCGACGAGATAATGTTACTTCACTTTTTCACACACAAATTCCCCGATATTAAGGAAAAATATCAATAATCGCTGTTTTGTAAGGAGCATCTCGCTTCCCGAGGCCGAAAAACAATCGCAAATTGCGGTCAAAGTACTCTACATCTCAGCAACGTCTCACATTATTTTTTTCTTCTTCCATCTAATAAGTCGTTGACGTGGGATTTATTAGCTAACGACTCTCGAGCAAGCAGTGATCGGTTTAGCGTTATCGACGCTATCAATGATCCAAGCGTCATCGAATTGAAAATAGTAATAATTGGATAGAGTAGTAGGTCGGCTCGAATTCTCGAGCTGCGAAATACGAGATTTTAGGCGCGAAAATCCGCGACGCAGGACTGTGGTGAACAGGAGAATAAGATGATTGCACTGGCAGTATAGGGATAGCGCCAGGATTTACCCTGAGCAAGGTGTTTTCTCTGAGGCCGACGCTTGCCGACAACAAAGACAAGCGGGGTCTTGCACTAGATGGTCAGCTTAAACACGAGGACACCAATCTCGCGTCTAGCACAATGTGAGTGCGAGATCAAGATCAAAGAGATCGAGAGAGCGCTTGTTACTTCTTCTCCCCCCGTTACTCTCTCTCTTTATCTTTCTCTCTTCTCTTCACTTTCTCTCTATCTTCCTCTCTCTCTCTCTCTCTCTCTCTCTCTCTCTCTCTCTCTCTCTCTCT